GGAGCTGCCATGAGTCTCCTGTGATGGCGTAGGCTGCAGCCCCTGCTGCAGTGGGCTGCCGTGAGCTACCGTGAGTGTCTGGCAGCCAGCATGAGCTGCCATGAGCCACCATGAGCGGCCGTCTAATGGCTGGCAAGCGACTGCCTCACCCGGGAAGAGTGCAATGATCATACCAACATGGGCCAGTGAAGCGACGTCCTCCATAACTAGACTGAAGAACCAAAAAAAAAGGACAGCAATTTGTCTGTTCTCCTTCCCAAAGTCCCCAACTCTGTTCCCCTCCCCCACTTCCTCAATAAAATCTTTAAAAAAAAGAAGATCAGTGATGTTTGTGTTCTCTTCACTTACCACTCTCTCGTTTTTAGATCTCCAGCTCTCTCATCAAACCTGACTGTCAGGAAGTTGACTCCCTCCCTTGCTACCACAGGAATATCTTTAAGTTCCGTATGGCATTCCTTACTTTGCCTTCTTGTAACTCTCATACTCTTCACCTACTTCACATCTGTCTTCCCCAGACCGTGAGCTCTACTGTGAGACAGAACCTTATTTTTGAAATTTATTTTTTAATTATAGTTGACACACACCATTCTATTAGTTTCAAGTGTCCAACAAAGTGATTAGATATTTATATAGAGGCAGGATCTTATTTGGGCTTTCTGTTACCATATCCCAGTGGGTCATCAATGAATACTTGTTGAATTAAATTATATGTACATTGTTTAAGAGAGGACTGCCATTAGACAATAGGAATGTGTAACTTTAATAGTATTCAGTAATAAATGTGACTGAGTAGTACAGTAAAGAAATACTAAAGCATGGTCTGCTTACATTTTTAGAATGATTGCTTCAACTCTGTACTTTATTTGGTGACTTAGTCACTGTTGTAGACACTGTGCCATGCAAAGATAACCTACACTTTGCAAATACTTCATTCCCCTAAAACCCGTTTCCTCATCTATAAATGGTATGCATTCAACTTCTCTCTATACTGGAGTGAATAATACCTGTCTTGACTACCTCTTAGGTGAAAGTTCTTTGAGAAATAGGATGAAGTGTATAGATGTATTTTTTTATATTGTTAGTGCTGAATTTCTTTGATACTTAGTGAAATACCCATTTAAAATGCTTATTCAGTATTTATTCCATACCTTTCATGTGAACAACATTGTAGTAAATACCACTGAGGAATAGAAATTCTTTTTTCAAATTTGGGCATAAGATACTCTCTTCTTGTAAGAAGTTTGCGTAACTAGAGAGCATAACAAGAATTATGAGGCACATGCATATGAAGCATCTGACACATTTCAGTAGCGTTAGGAGATGAACACATGTACCAATGAGCGGGAGAGAGATAAGTACTGTAAGAGCTTAGGGGATGCGGGAGTGAGTGCGATCTGGAATGATTAGACATAAATTAATGGATAAGGTGACACATGAGTTAGGCTTGAATGATAGGCAGGATCTAAATTAGTACAGAGAGGGGAAAATGAAAAAAAATGTTTAAATTAAAAAAAAATTAGTATGGAGGGTAATTCCAAGTGAGAGGCACGGTGTTTGGGAATTAAGCCTAATGTTATTTTCTGACTCTGCTGAATCAGAAAAAGGTTTTCACTTTAGAAAACTGTTGAATTCCCTAATTGATCAAGGATTCATTTCTTTAAATGTCTTCAGGCTCTAAACCCTGTGGAAGTGGCCTTGGTGACGTGGCATTCTGTGAAGGAAATGGTCTTTGAAGGGGGCCCCCATCCATGGATCTTGGAGCCCTCCCAGTTCTTCCTGGAGTTGAGCATGGAGAAGACAGAGAACATTGAAATAACGCAAGTCCGACTGCCCGCCAAGAGAAAACAGAACCAGTACACCTATCGGGTTCTGTGCCTGGATTTGGGGGAACAAGTAGGAAAATGACCTTTTTCTAATATTTCTTTTAGCAGTAACACTCCATATCTTTTGTTCTTCTAGCCGTTCCTTTTCAGATGCTAACAGATTTAGAATATAGCTGCGTTATAACCTATTGAGCTTCTTTTTAACATCTCTAGTGAGCTTTATTATATATGGCTAGCTATTAGTAATTTCAGGCCAAACTACTCCCTTTTGAAGCTCTCTAGCTTCTCTTTGCTTCCACATTCTGTTATTCCTGAGTACTTCCACCCGAGACAACTTGAAACAGAAATTAGTTTTTCTGCCCTTTACCAACTGGTAACAAAAGATTTGGTAGAGGAAAAGACTGAATTAATTGGTCAGATAGATTTCTTTAATATTCCCTCTGTTTTCAGATTTCCGTAATGCCCTTGTTCCTCTTAGCACAGATACTTAAGAATGATAATGTCTTCAGGAATTTGCCTGATTATAATATCCAAAGGGACTCTATACCAGAATTTGCATAGCGAGCATTTTGATTGGCCCGACTGACGTCAACTGTCTACCCACAATGCTCTCTTGCTCTGGTGTTTCCTTAAAGGTTCTGACATTCCAAATTGGAAACCACCCTAGTGTCCTGAACCCTAGTCCAGCTGTAGAGGTTGTGCAGGTACGCTTCATATGTGCCCACCCTACCAGCATGTCGGTAACCCCAGTGTACAAGGTGCCAGCTGGTGTCCAGCCATGCCCTCTGCCACAGCACAGCAAACAACTGGTAAGTTAGTTTCCACTAACTTGGCACTTTCATCTTCCATGCTTTAGAGAGAAATGGTCTGAAATACGCCTTTTGTCTTATTAACGTTAACCACCCTGGCGGTAATCCCGAGTGTGGCTCGGGGTTAATTTTCACTGCCAGAAGCGGTAACCCCGAGCCACACTCGGGATTACACTGCAGTGTCCCAGAGAAGTCCCTTACCTGCTCCCTGCGATCCTGCGGTGTCCTCCTGTGATTGCCGACAAGAATGCCGGCCGATGACAAAT